AACCGCCTCATTTCTGTGTACGTCCGTTTTCTTTGTCGATATTTTCGTCGGCTTAAGTTACCATACTAGGATGATTCATGACAAGAAGCTGCTCAGCGTTTGCGGCGAAACTGAACTAGCCAACGCGAAGCAATCTTTCATCACGATGATGCAGGTAAGTTTGAAGTTTCTAGTTGGTCATCTAGCGTTCTTACGAACTCTTTGAAGGTGTACGAGTATTTCATCTCCCATCACATGGCAACGGCGTTCGAGAGCCTTTTTGGATCCGTCACCTGTTGCCGGGTTGCTTCACCCTTTACCGCATCAGAACGCCTGATACCCATAAGCCGCTACTCATCTCCAACCAACTTATTAACGACTACTCGGAGAATCGTGTCGACACACTGCATATGAAGAACCTCCTGCATCTTGGCGAAGATCGATACCTTACTACGTTGCTCCTCAAGCACTTCCCGCTTTTCAGAACCCAATTCATCCGCGACGCTCATGCGTACACCGTGGCTCCTGATGACTGGAAGGTTTTGCTGTCTCAACGTCGCCGCTGGATCAACTCGACAGTCCACAATCTCGGGGAGCTCATCTTTCTGGAGCAGCTTTGCGGTTTCTGTTGTTTCTCGATGTGTTTCATTGTAATGATTGATTTGGTTTCGACCCTCACACAGCCCGTCACTGTTGCATATGTAAGTTTTATTTTTTCATTCGATCAGGTATCTGATTACCTCTCAAGATTGTGTATTTGATCTACCTGGCGGCTGGCGAAGGCAAATCCATCCCCACGTTATCGCTTATCATGATCGCCGCGATCTACGGTATTCAAGCCCTGGTTTTCATCATGCGACGGAAGTGGGACATGATCAGATGGATGTTGTTCTACATCCTTGCCATTCCCGCCTTCTCCTTCTTCTTGCCTCTATACTCGTACTGGAAGATGTACGATTTCTCTTGGGATCAAACACGTGTCGTGCTTGGTGAATCTGGCAAGAAGATGATCGTTCATGTAAGTTTTCATCTCTCTTTTTGAGAGTACACGACGCTAACTACGTTATAAACCAGGACGAAGGGAAGTTTGATCCTCGGTCTATTCTTCTCAAATCATGGAACGACTACGTGAGTTTTGCCTGCACTCTTCCCCTTATTTGTTCGCTAACACCCTTCATCAGGAGAACGAGCTCTGGGACAAGGAATCGAATCACAGCATCGGATCCTGGGTCCATCAAACCAAAGCAAAAGAAGCTTATGCAGATTTGTTATACAGCCGAGAAACCTACTACAAGCCTCAAGGACGCAGCTTCCCACCAGCCCCATCTCAGCTCGGCATGTACCCGCCTCCAGGATACCAATCAGGTCGCAATACCCCAAAGTCCCAGTTCCGACCAATGAGCGACGTAGGGCACTTCCACCAGCCTGCCCCATCACGCCCTGCCACCAACTATCTAGATATGCCAATGCCCACGACGCACAGTTCAGATACCTTCGATCTGTTACCCAACCTGGGTGGCGGTGGTGCGCCTGCTGCCGGTGGCGCACCAAGTGACTTCGAGCTCGAGCGGTCCGTCCAAGAAATTATGCGATCTGCGGACCTCAACTCCGTAACGAAGCACGAGATTCGGCGCCAGCTCGAGGAACAGTTCGACATGGACCTGACTTCTCGCAAGGCGACTATCAATGCCGCGGTCGATAGAATTCTGCTCAGTCAGGCGTGATTGAGCGGATTTACGTTGGAAGTCAACCTCTGGATGGTCTACCCTCTATTTCGTCATGCTTGGTACCCCTTTTATGTCTTTTCCTTGACTGACTTTCCTCATTGGTATTTTGAGCCCTCGTGAACCATTTCTTTATTAGTAGCTTACCCTCCATCGGACTTGACAATTAGTATCATCTCACGCAGTAGGATCTCACTCCCCACCCTCTCCGTCATCCAGTCATTAGCATCAGGACTTTGCACACTCTTTTCCCTTATATCTCTCGTTCCTCTGACACCAAAACGTCTTGATAAATAGTTTCATGATAAGACTATAATTATAGAAGCAAGCATATGTGTCTGCTATTGTCTATCACATCATGATCATCATCAACCCATCGTCGACTAATCAAATGGAACGGGCCTCACACCCGGCACCCCTGCCTCGCCCAACTTGAACCCATGCTTCTTCTCCGCCTCCGCCCTGGCCGCAGCAAACACAGACGGCACGGGGATCCCGCAGCAGTCACCCCACCCAACGTCCTTCTGGCCAGCCCCTCCAAGGTCGTCATGTGCGTGCACGTGGTCCCCATGCACTGTCGGTGTTATCACGGGTTTCGAGGACGTAGAAAGCGCGGATGGAGGAGATATAGCAGGCGGAGGCGGAGGCGGAGGTGGTAGAGGCCCGTCGTAAGGAAGGAACGAGCCGAAGAGTAAGTGTTGTATTACTGGGAGCTTGTTGAGGACTTCGGCAAGGTACATTTTGAGCATTCCTGAGTTGACTTTGTCCCATGTTTTTACCTGCAAAACAAAGAGGATGACCGGGAGGAAAAGAGGCGAAAGGAGAGGAAGCTTACGGCTGAGATGTCGTTGAGCATGGGGGAATGCCATCGGAGGGAGGCTGTCTTTATCTGTGTGTGAGAATATGCGTCAACGTCAACAGCGCTTGATGAAGAGGGGGGAAAGAAGCACCGAATTGATGAAAGCGATACAAGCAAATACATGTAGTCTTTTGAGTATTCTTCCGCTATCTCGGGGTCGTGTATCGCCTTGGGACGGATGTACTTATGCCCTGAGCCACGGATCAGCTTTGGGGTTCGAAAGAGTGCGATGACCTTGCCCACCTCGTAGTTGCGCCGAACCGAAGAGAAACGGGAGGAAGTGGTAGTCGTCCAGCCCCCAGACGCCATGCGATCCAGCTGGTTCTAGCCAGTAGGTCGATTGGAGTATCTGCATGATATTTATGTATCTGCTAACGGGTCAGTCTGGTTGTGACTGAAAGATGAGAAAGGGTTACCTCCAGAATAAACGAATAACGATTGGTTTATGGTCCGTTTCTTGTAAGACCTGTAGCCGTTCTAGACATAAGCTAAGTATACGACGCGCTGAGCGATCACAAGAAGGCAAGGAATCCGAAACTTACAGCCAGCACAGGAAATTGAGTTCCATTCCACTCCCGTAATCGATGCGCGTGCGATTGCCCCATGCCTCGCTGAAATAAACCGACAGTTCCTCGATAGCCTCACTTGGCAAACCAGGAAGCGATGCGTGTAACTCCGGTGAGATCTATGAACGATGGTTAGCGAGTACTTCAATCTAACTCCAGGATACACAAATGTACCTTGGAGACACGATCATAAAATGTCCGAAAAGCCGGATTCCCAAACCTCGACGCGGAGTTCTCCACAGGAGGCGTATCCCTCGCCACTCGCTCAACACTGTCCAAGAGGACGAGAACAGCAGCTGCACCCGTAGACAACGAACATTCGTCGGTGAGCCTGATGCCGACGACTGCGTCGTTGAGGACCTCGATATATGAGACGAGCTCTTGGTGTGTGTCTTCGAGGTTTGGAAGTACTCGAGTTGTTCCTTCGTTAGAATCGCTTTGCGCGGAACTTGGAATGCCATATTATCAGAAATTCAAGTTGGTGCGGAGGTCTTATCAAATCAATGCTCAAAACCCTAACCCTAACTTTCAAGCTTCGTAAAACTCTCCTTCATCCTTGCTACATCCCTAAATAACGCTACACACACAGTTTGATTGGACATACGAATGGGAGATGAAGGAAGCGAGAAGTATTTTGCATTATTGTTTCCCCACATTGCCAATTGATGCTATCGGCCAGAGATAGTTGACCCTCCTGCGGTTGGACGCGAATCGTCTCTGGCATTGCTCTCCAACGCGTTCAGGAATCTCCCTCGGAGGCTCGGATCCGAACTTGCAGTTGGATCGTAGTAACTGAGCTCCTTTGGCCTGTCGTTTTATGTAAGTATTCTTTTAGTATCGTCCTTTTAAATTTGCATTCAAGTTGTTCATGCGATTGCGTTTTGAAGGTCTGAAAGTCCAGGTTTGATTCCTCCGATAGTTGGGCTCGATGAAGAACCAGAAGAAATTCATTTAGAGCGACAAACTATCGGAGAATCAAGGGCCCAAAAGGATGCACCAGCAAGTCCGCCGTGAGACAACTTGCATTCATGCCGCAATTCGTTGTCGTCCTCTTGTAAAATATGCGCAGTCTCTCGAGCAGACTAGCGTAGTTAAGCACTTCTATGACCACGTCCCGAAAATTTTTCATTGGCGATTTAGGTTGTTTCCGCCTCGTTAATCTCTCAAGTTTCTGCAGGTGCCAACTTCCTTCAGGCTCTACCCAAGTTCATCATCCGACTATCCCCGTCCGTATCCTATGTTCTCCAGCACTTTTCTTCTCTAGGACTTCAGGATCGTCAATTCGAAAATATTCCGTCATACTCGCCATCTGACCACGGCGCTCAGACAACCAATCGCCTCCTTCACAAATTCCGACCCCGCCCACGTCTTGCAGATTACCTACCACCTTCAGCGGGCCCTTCTTAAGCCCTCTCGGAAAGCTCGCGCAGCATGCCTATCATCGACGCAAGTTGATATTTTTTCTTCTTTATTCACAAGGGAAACATTGCGCAGATTTTTACCCCCTCAATGATTATGTGGTCCTACTCCAAGATAACAAGGACAGGGGAGTTGACGACTAGTTGGGGAGGGCAGGAATGATAAAAGTGGCGATGACGGCCAGCTGGGACTGACTGCAACAAAATAAGGATGCGAACTGTCTCCCGTCACGCGGCGCGAGGACGATGGGGATTATTATGGTGAGCCTTATGGCCCTTAACTGTAGCCTGTCGATTCATTCTGCTATCACTCAGGAAACACACGTACCAAATACCTCCGACAATGGAGCGATGACCTGGGAAGTTGTAGTAGGGAAATTCGTGTCGCGCGGGTTGCATTAGGACGCGAAGATGAATTTTCGGAGGGCAACAACCGGACAGAGAGTGCAGAACGATGCTTTTAGGGTGGGTCATTTATGATCATTTCGGTTCGTTCATTACCATGGAAGATCCTACATCTCAAGTATTTCGACGAAAAAACAAGGAGTCTTTCCGTGTCCACCACGAAGGAAACGATGAAGACGCGTCCCAACTCATGAATGGTGAGACGCAATGCGGTACGCCGCTTTCCTGTAACGTCCGCCCTACCATTGATGTTCCTTTCAAATTTCCGCAGACTGCAGAGAATCATGCGGCGAGAATTTGGAGGACGTTGAAATACGGTAAGTAACTCTCCTGCCCTGCATTTCACAGATCACATAATTTGCTCCAGACTTCGCGAATCCATCCTCAAGTCCACATCACCTCGATCAGTTGGACAACCACTGACAAGCTTATGACGCAGATGCTTAGGCCGCGGCGTGGGCGGATGAAGGCTTAGGCAATGATTGAAATGGAAACGGGTTTGAGGCGTCACGTAAAAATCCTGGTTTTTCCTCTCATTCGTTTCATACTAATCAGAGGACACAGGGGCACATACTTGCACGAAATTTTAGACATCGCTTCCTCTGCTAAGACCGAGTGGCTACTTCGAATGTCGAAGCTGGTGTCGGTTGTGGGTTTGCGGCATCATCAAGAGTGCCCTTTCTATACAGTGCCGCACAAGGTCTGATCAACAACAGCAGTCCGTAGTGCGTCAACACTTTTCGGTTTGATGTAAGGCTTTTACTCAATCTCCACTTCTTTTCCACATCCGGACACAGGTTTATGCCACCATATACAGGCCAATCAATGTCATCAAAGCGCCCCAAGGCCTGACAGCTGATAACTGCAAGTCTACAGCCAAATGGAGCGAGCATGTCAATCATGGGAAGTGGCTATGGCCAATTGAATACCAGGTGCGTAAGACGATCGTTCCTGTTGGCAACGCGTAGGGTGGGCTTACGTGGGATCTATTGGATACAGCTGAGAGCATCGTCGACAATGAGCTGGGAGCGTAGTCCGGGCCGTGCCCCTGAACTCACAGATCGTCTACTCTACGCTATGCGCCAAGATTCATACGGAATGGCCAAGGACTCTACGTAGTGGGTAGACCGGTAACCGTTTAACATTTACCTAATGTTCTTCCCAACAGTTACTGCGCGATGACCGTTTTGGAAGTAAGAATAATGTAGCAAATTTATTAGCACACTCCTAGATGATATCGGCTCTCTACATCAACGTAAATTCATTGTCAAGTTCCAACGTTCTTCCCAAGCCATGCAATCGTGAGTATGCCTCATAGAAGACATGAAGACTTCAAGACATTGTGCACTCCCAATCACCCCCGACAACTAGCAATCGTCTCCGGCCTGTCCGTCTGCGCAAACCTCACCAACTCATTCACCTGCACCCACCGCTCGTCCTCATGTCCCTCATAAGAACGCACGCACTTCAAATCGGGAAACAAACCATTCAAATACCGCCCGATGCGAAAAGCGTCCCACGCATCCCAATCGTCTACTACCGATGCAATCATGAGCGTCTTCAGTTCATGTTTGAGCTCTGAATATAATAGTTTCCTCGATGATAAAAAGGGTTGTACTGCTTGTATGTCGCTCGTATCTAGGGGTATCCGCAGTTCCGTAAGCTTGGGACAACGTTCCACGAGGACTCGAAGAGACTTCATCCTCGGCCGTATACGAGTGGGAGGGAGGAACGGGAGAAGGAGGCCATTCAAGTTTGGCCAGGTCTTCGCCCACTCTTCTATCAGGTCATCGCTGATATCCATGAATTATCCACGTAGACTGAGCGTGCAGAGGTTGTGTAAAGGGAATAAAGGCTTTAATGTGTCGAGAGGTAACTCTTCCGCCTCCGCGTCCTCTGGTGTTAATCTGAGCCCGAAACATCGTAAGGAGCTAGACCAGCGCGAAACAAAGTCCTCAACCAAGAGTTTCATGTCAAATCCTGGTTCAGGAGGTGAAAGGCAGACAAAGGTGTCTAGTTGGTCCGTGGATATGTTGGCAACGAACGATTGGATGAATGGGAGCGATGCGGAGATGGTAAGATTCCTTAGGTGTCTAAAGCCTATGATATTCGCCAAGGGAGGTATTGGTGAGTCTATGAAATCCAATTCGAGGTCTGTAAGCGCCGACAGTGCCCCAGCCCCTCTCCCCTCAGTATAATCTGTCTCCAGGGTTCCTTGCCTCTCGACGCGTTTCATTTGCTTACACCTAGATGTGGTGTTTTGTTAGTTAAAAACGTGACGTAGAAAGATGAAAAAAAGGGAGACTTACTGATCGCAAACAGTCCTAGGACCCATCGGCCCAGGGCCCCATTTTTCAATGCACTTGTTGTCTTTATACCGTCTTGGGAAACCGCATTGTCTGCAGATCCTCTGGCCTTGGGCGTTTGTGGCTGGGAAGACTTGGGCGGGCGGTGCGACGATCGGTGCGTTGATTGGGCCTTGGAAATTAGTCAGTTAGTATGTTCATTAAGGATGAAGGAGACGGGATGGGGAAATGGAAAGGGAAGAAGATTTGTGTGAAGTAACACGAGAAAAGAATAAGTCGGAGATAAGAATTGAGAAAAGATGCCAGGAAAGACATCAGTTAAATAGAAACAGAGCGAAGGGCGAGGAGAGGAGAGGTGTATGATAGAAAACTGAGAAAAGCAAAAAAATTGAAGCGTTGAAACGGATCGCATAGGAAAGAAGGCTTCTGATATCTGTCACCTGAAACACAGAAATCGAGAAGAGGGTATTGCCAGATGCAAGAGAGCAAACAGACGACGTCCGTTCCTCGACAAGACGATCCAAAGGCCAGAAGGAACACGCGACTTACCTCCTGCTGGTCCTCCAGGCCCCCCAGCCAACGCACCCACAATCCCCCCTCCTCCAATACTACTCCCACTAACCGAATACTTTGGCTTCTTCATGGGTGCACCTGTAACGACCGGAGCAAAGACATGAGTCTGATACTGCTGAACCTGACCCGGCTGAACGAGTGGACCAGGTTGTCCCACCAGCTATCTCACGTCCTTCCTCGGGACAGACTGATTAGCCGGATACACATACCCAGCCCCCTCTTGTGCTTGTTGACCCTCGTAAACGTGTACGCGCATGCTGCTACTACCCCTCCTCGGCGTGTCTTCGTGAGTGGTGGCTCCACAGATGCGGGGACCCATTTTGAGATGCGGTTGTAGTTGGTAAAGGAAGACTCGCCATATGCGGTGGTTGTTGTGGTTGTTGATTCGCAGCGATGCCGTTGATGGCGTCGGCTGTAGTGGCTTCAAAGAGCATCTCATCAACGTCCAACGAAGCGCTGCTAGAGCGACTTGAAGACCTTGAATGGGGTCTACGCGAAAGCGCATGATGGGGATGTTGAATGGAGATGTAAATGTGATGAAGGGAGGGTGTGTGGGTGCGGTTTGTGGTGATCGCCGGGGGACATGATGATTCTAGGAGCGGACGGGGTAGGGGCCGGGTATCCATGCTGCTCCAGATGGATATGCTGAGCCGAGGGATGAGGACGTAAGAGAAGTGCGCTCGTTGAAATCGAGGTGTGGTACTTACCAAGTCGGAATAAGACATCCTCGGTTCTCCATTCCCGCGGGATCGTTTTGATGGTGGGTGGGTGTATATGCTTTCTAAGCTTGGCGTGCGTGCTCTGCGGGATGTTGTCGTGGTTGATGAAGAACTAGTAGGGGATGTTAAAGCAGGAAAAGGGGTCCTTGTAGCATGTCTCCTCGGTGGTTGAGAAGTTGGCGGTGGTGGAGGTGCCATGGAGGATGTACCCAGCAACGGAGTACCA